GATCCATCACTGTGTTAATCAATGGGATCCCAACGAAACTGCAAGTTGACACTTCCTCAGACATCACAATTGTTTCCAGGAGCACATGGAATCACATAAAGAGGCCGGAGATGGTCGAGTCTCAGAAAGTTGCACATAATGCATCCGGCGGTGTGTTACATTTAGGGGGCGAAGTCTTTTGCAAGATTGCTTTTCAAGGTGTGGAAAAGTCGGGAACATGCCACATTTCAGACCGGCCGAATTTGAATGTTCTTGGCCTCGACTGGATTGAAAAGTTGAATCTCCTCGATGTTCCCTTGAATCAGATCTGCAACCGAGCTCGAGCAAGTCCAGACCCATCTGCCACTTTTATCGAAGACATGACACGTACCCTGAAGAGAAAATTTGCTTTTGCCTTTCAGGATGGCTTGGGCCACTGTACCAAATTCAAGACAACACTGATCTTGCGGCCAGGTGCTAAACCAGTGTTCAAGGCTAAAAGACCGGTACCATAGGCAGCCATGTCAACCGTTCAGCAAGAGCTCGATCGACTGGAACGTGCCGGAGTCATCACAGCCGTCAACTACTCATCATGGGCCGCACCTATTTTCGCAGTGAAGAAAGCAAATGGCAAGGTACGCATTTGCGCTGACTTTTCAACTGGCCTCAACGCCGCGCTGGAAGACCACTAGTACCCATTGCCTGTACCGGAGGATGTCTTTGCAAAGTTGAATGGTGGTAAGTACTTTGCTAAACTTGATCTATCCGATGCTTATCTGCAAGTAGACGTTGACGAAGTCTCGAGGGGAGTTGTTGACGATCAACACTCATCGTGGGCTATTCCAATACAACCGCTTGCCATTTGGTGTGAAAACGGCGCCAGCCGTCTTCCAACAGTTGATGGACATCATGCTAGCGGGCGTTTCTGGAACCGCTGCATATCTGGACGATATCATAGTGACGGGTCGAACACCGGAAGAACTGTTTAACCGCTTGGATGAAGTGCTTGGTTGCATACAGTCGTACGGTTTCCGGATCCGTGAGGATAAATGCACATTTTTCATGCCGCTGATCAAATATCTCGGATTTTTCTTTGTGAAGGATGGACGTCGACCAGACCCGGAAAACATAGAAGCCATTAGAAGAATGCCTCCTCCAACAGATCTACAGTCCTTGCATTCCTTTTGTGGGCTCATCAGCTTATACAGCGCATTCTTGCCTGAGATGCGCCGCCTGCGTGCCCCGTTAAACAAGCTATTAGCCAAAGGCCAAATATGGAACTGGACATCCGAATGCCAGAATGCCTTCGAACGCGTCAAGTCACTGTTGTCCTCAAACTTGCTTTTGACTCATTTCGATCCCTCCAAAAGGATTGTCTTGGCAACTGATGCATCCAGCCATGGGATTGGTGCGATCATATCACACACCTACGCCGATGGATCTCAGAAGGCAACCACCCATGCCGCCAGAACACTTACGAAGGCCGAGAAGAATTACAGCCAGGTTGAGAAAGAAGCATTGGCCATAGTGTATGCAGTCAAGAAATTCCATAAAATGCTATACGGCCGCCGCTTCAAGCTTCTGACAGGTCACAAGCCCTTGCTGGCTATCTTTGGTTCGAAAAGGGCATCCCGGTCTACACCGCTAACCGGCTACAACGTTGGGCTCTTACCTTAATGGGGTATGATTTGGAGATCCAATACCAGTCGACTGTTTCCATTGGCCAAGCGGATGCACTGTCACGCCTAATTGATGCTCGTCAGCAAGAACATGAGGACACAATCATTGCTTCGGTCGAGGTTGAACCTGACGTCAACTTTCTGGTAACTTATGTATTGCACGGTCTACCAGTTACCGCAGAAGCTGTACGAACCGAAACACTTCGGGACCCAATCCTCAAGAATGTTACACAGTTTCACAAAACAAGTCGGCCACATTCATGTCCATCTGCTGAATTTCAACAGTACTTTCAGAGGAGACACTCACTCTCTATTGTAAACGAATGCATATTGTTTTCGGAAAGAGTAGTCATCCTCAAGGCACTTTAGGAGCGTCTTATTCGGCAGTTCCACGTCGGACATCCTGGAATCAACCGGATGAAGGCGCTTGCCCGCAGTTATGTATATTGGCCTTTCATGGACAAACAGCTAGAGGAAATAGCTAAAAGCTGTCAAAGGTGTGCCAATGTCTTGAAAGCACCACAAAAAGCAGAACTCTGTTCATGGCCAATATTTACTAATCCATGGTGCCGCATCCATGTCGACTTTGCGGGACCGATCAACGGCAGAAGCTTTCTCATAATCGTCGATCCATACAGCAAGTGGCCTGAAGTATTTCTTATGGAGAACACCACCACCAATGCCACCATATCGAAACTGCGCCAAACCTTTAGCAGATTCGGCTGTCCTGAGACAATTGTCACCAACAATGGCTCACAATTTACTTCAGCAACGTTTACGGAGTTTTGCAAGCGACGCGCCCTACAGCACGTTCGCTCGCCGCCGTTTCACCCACAGTCGGATGGCCAGGCAGAAATGTTTGTCGACAAATCCAAGCGAGCTCTCCACAAATCAATAGGGGAGGGAAGTATAGAGGAGGTGGTTGACCGGTTTCATTTCCTCTACCGATCAACACCGAATCCACAAGCGCCAGACGGAGTCTCTGCAGCAAGGCCATGATGAACCGGAAGCTACGCATGCCTTTCGATGCCATCCGACCGGGCTCGGAGTCCTCTGTATATGAAAGAAACCGCAGAATGGAACAGGAGTTTAACCGGCGGCATAGAGCAAAGAAGCGATCTTTCACGCTTGGACAGAAGGTGCTAGTACGTGACTACCGGGAAGGCCATGCGAAATGGACGCCAGGGACGGTCAAAAGCAAGCGCGGCAACGTCATGTATGACGTGATGGTGGGCGCACAGCTTTGGCCACGGCATGCAAACCAGTTACGGCCTACATTTTGCCAACCAGAACAAGAAAGGCCTACTGACCTCCCGTTCGATTTACTGGTGGAAACTTTCAACCTGCCGAAGGTAGCAGTGGACGATTGCACAAGGTCAAGCAACGAATCCAGAACAAGAACATCGAAACAAAGTTCCCGGGCGCTTCTGCCTAGGAGGTGGACCGACAGGCAGAGAACAACGTCCCGAAGACTGCAAGTTATTCCCAGGCTTTCGTCTTATACCTCGGCCATATCTCAGGAGGGGAGGTGTCCGGGAGAAAGTAAGAATTGCCTTTGGAAATTCCCTATTTTAGCGATTAATCGATTATTAACGATTATCGCATCGATTTCGAACATTCCGGAATGTACTTATTCTGCACGTGATTGAAAGCCACCTGACACCTCGGCAACAGATATGGGGAACCACTAACCTTGGCAGCTGACCTTCCAATTCTAGAAGTCGAAGGTCAGTAGAGACCTATAAATACAGAAAAGGTCCCTAGTCGTTGTACAGTGTTCGTTGTCGGCGATTAATACGTTATTTTGCCAAGGTCATTGGCGTTTTGCTTTTTTCTTTCGGTTGGGCTAGAAGTTTTGTGGAGCAGTGAATTGTTATTTTTGGAGTTGCGTCTAGTGCGAAGATTATAACAGTTTCTTCACCTGTACTATCTCTAGCTGGTTTAAACAGCACCTTTTATCCTATTTTTAACTACAATTTGTTATTGGAACACCGGGAAAAAGAGAAAGTGAGGTTAGCCTAAGTTACTTAGCTGTATAAGTTTTGATAATACCGCGCACCGCTGACGATTCCCGAAAGAATGAAACGCGCCTACAATGCTTTTCCGTGCATGTCTGAAGGAGTATATATGTGACGAATTTCCACCTATACCATACTACGCTCCCTACTACTCTTCTGTACTCCCGTAATTGTTGCGAAACATATTCAGTTCTGCTTATGCGATCATTGGTTAGGGGTCATTTAAATTCGATCGGCCAATGTTACGTTCATAACCACATTGCTGGGACCTTTAAGCCACCACTCACAGAATTTTGCAGGAAACAAATTTTGAATACATTGATCATATGTATATGGCGGCGAATTCAGCAACAGATCATGCTTTTTACTTAAAAATGTAGGTTTATCTTTATGGTTGTTGTTTGCTATCCAGATAATGAAGAGTGAGGGCGCCATAAAGCCCACTGTTGACGATACCATTTGATGCTTGTATGTTTCTCAAACCCATCCGCCCATGTCAGATCATGAAGTGATGTCACAGGTCTCCTCAGGCAAGATGACGACGTTATGCATGTAAATGGAATTTTCAATAATTGGGCCTGGTGGACTATAAAGCTTCCAGTGAACGCAAACACAAATTAATCCATGCACAATCGAAAGCCTCACATTCCAGAGCCATTAAAGAACATTACTTTTGGTCGAGAGCGGAATCAGCACTTAATCAAGCACTATTTTGGTTGCATACTAAACCACGTGACTTAATCCTTTTTGGACATATTCGTATTTGCATAGATGTGCAAAATGCAGGAAAGCATGACTTTGTGGGATAATCTTCTGGTGTTTGAAATCCACCGAATGCTTGGTGCTTATCCGAGGGAATGGATAAGCAATGAAGTTCCTTCATAATCCTTACCAAGATTATCGGAAGTGCAAGTTGTGAGATTAAGTCGTTATCTTGCGCATTCTCATCAGTCATGTGCATAGATGCATACAAACGATGATAGACTAAAGGGAGAAAAGGTTAGGTGACAAAAATGAATGGACTAGTGGTGGTCCCATCGACGCACTTCGCGCTACAACGGTTTATCCACCGTTTATCATAGCCCATTGGGCCAGCACAGCGGCAATAACAATAGACTCAAGGAGGCTGAAAATATGGGGATTAGATCACGCTCAAGGAATGTTAGTTGGGGGGTTAGTCGGCAAATTATTGTGGCTGATTAAGGAATCCAACTGCTCCCGTAAAACCCTAGTAGTTGAGTCAGTTCCCTTGTTGTTGTACTTGAAACAGACTGGTTGCTTGCGTCTATTTTATTATTTCTCTAAGGAGAACAGAAGCACTTACCTTTTTTGACCGTATCCGGATGTGGCATAGGCCACCCACCAGTCGGTTGCCAGTGTAGAGCAGAATCTTTCTCATGAATACATCAGTACACGTAAATAGAATGGCCGGGTGGTTTTCGGAAACCCAAATGCTAATGCTGGAGCCAACCTAAAGGCAGTGGGCATAGGTAACCACAATGGATGTCAAGGAGCAGAGAACCCATGTGTTTCAGTCATCTTCCACAAGAGGGTGTAGACACTCAAATGAAGAGCTACCTTCAGCCTAATCAGCTGATAAAAGATGCAAGTAAAATGGTATGCAGTTTTGTTAATTTACCATCTAACCTATCTTGTCATAAACTTTCCCAGTCACTAAGTTATAACAAGGCCATTTCCATGGGAAGTGAGCATTAAACAACCAAGTCCACTCTGAAGTCACCAAATTTAGCGTATATTTCCTTCAGCTCTACCTTCGCACACAAAGAATCACGAAACCAGCGCTGACCATCACGTAAATATGAAGGGAGAATAGTGGAACACACCGAAAATTCCACGCACGCTCGGTCACGCGAGATTTGAGTGGTGAACAGGTTGAAGCTATGTGTGTGGAATTCTGTCAGCGCACCGTGATACTCCTCAAGGTAGCTTGAGTACATGTGTAATATGCGTGCCATTTTCTTGATAACACTAAATACATGAAAATAATTTGAGGCCCTTCAAAATGTAAGCCATAGTGTAAAAGCTTCAATCCGTTACTTGACTCTGTTACCTCTTGCTGGGTTAATCTAGGACGTTTTTGGATAGCTTAGTTTCCAAGAATCGGCTTTCTTAGCCGAGCGGTCAAATCGGATTGGCCAGAAACAATGTTAGTGGTACATCATCTCTGTGGACAACAAATTATCCGTGACCCAATATGGGTTGTTACTATGCAATAAATAGATGGCCTTACTAGAATTCAAAGCTGTCCTTCGAATGGTAGGACTTTAGGGGTTTATGATACCAACTGTCCATAAAGGGTATGGTATGCACTGATTATGCTATTGCTGTCAGTTCTTGGAAGTAGCTTTACAGTTAGGTAGCCAACTACGTCTTCAAAATTGTCCCAAATGGTAGTGTTTCCTTACTGCGAATCTTCAGGAGTACGCACTCATTAGATTTGTCAGGAAGAAACAAATGACCTCGCTACGTCAGCAACCTGGGACAAGAGGACACGAAAGAGGGTGTTAGATGGTTGTAACGTACAAGCTATGGATCTGGCTGAAGCGCATCACTGGGGAGACATAATGGAACGAAACCAGATCTCCGGTGGAGAGTACTCAGTGTTGCGAACCGAGTGGCGTATTTCCTAAGCCGTGCTTTTCTATTTGGTTTAAAAGCCCCTGGGATAAACTATCAGTAAGCTAAACGCAAAAGTCTACTACTTACTACTACAAGCGAGTTATAGTGCCCATTAGATGTAAACTGCTATTTGTCACTTTTGGTCAAACAAATAATGACACGGTTGAACGGAAAGCGGTTTAGCGAACTTTTCAGTACGGTCGCTGTAATACTACTTGCTCCAGGTTCGGACAGTAACGTCTATGTTGATTATGCTCATAAACTTTTGCGTCCCCTTACCACAGCATTGCTTATATAAAATTCGACGACGTATAACACAGAACGGATATCGTGAGGAATTTGAGTCATCAAAGAACTGCGACCTTAGACGGAAGTGACGTCTAAATGGGACTTGTTCAACCTATAAATTGAACTGACGTTGAAATCAGGGACACATGATCTCACACATTTGCACCATCCCCAGCACTACTGACTGTGCGGAGGTGTCGACCACGTTCAGTTATTTACCACAAACGGCTCATACTTCAATTGTATCAACTTCACATGTTTTGTATTTACCAGCGTGAATCTTGATGGATTAACCCGCTCGCTTTCTAAATTAACACCAGATAAGTGGCTGACCCGCCAGGACGAATTAGAGCTGCACTTAAACATTACGACTGGTTCCTACCAACTTTTTGGAAGGTCTGCTTATCTATTGAATTGAAAAACACCGTAAATTGATCAAAAGTCTGTGTAAGCAAACGTGTGCTTTCGGTAATTCCTCATCAGGCTTTGGTAATTACAGGAAAATCAAAATGTTCTATACAGGCCCAACGGGTCGTCGGTCAGCCAAATCGAGTCTAGTGCGCCATGACAAACTGTCGGTCAGGTGATAGTTTGTAGTCGCATGCTCGCACTGGTCAACTGCAACCCGTCTTGACTAATGTAGGCTCAACAGGTGTGTGAATATTTTCAGTGTGCACAGCACTGGTTCGTACAAACGAATGGCGATAGCTTCTTCGGCGTCTAATATCCGCCTACGGAAAGACTTTTATCGATTTTCTGAGGCCCGAAAGATTACTTTGTACGAATCAGCCAACTTGGTGGCGTGACTCGTTTCCGCATAATGCGTTGCCATGGTAGAGTTGGTAGCCCTTTGACCTCTATTTCCGAGCAAGGTTGGATGGTGTTCCTTCACCATTTTGAGTAAGCGCCTTGTCGTACCACCAACATAACCTGCCTGCAGGAAATGATGAAGAAGTACACACATTTAGTTGGTGTAGACAGGCAGTGTATCATTGAGGTTTTGTCAGACCATTAGGTTGCTGGTGAACCGGATTTGCGGCATCGCCGCTGGAACGTGTGTATGCGTGTGTACGAGAGACGGCGGGATAAATGTTCGGATGTTATTACAGTTTTGCAAGGCAGTTGCAGGAAAATAGTATTCCCTTCCGCAGTCAGGACCGTAGGTACCTTCCATTTTCGTTAAATATTAGCATTAATAAAATTTTCTGGATAGCCGTTCTCGTTAAGCTCGATCGTTTGCGGTGTAACTCTTCGAAAAGAGTATCCCTTGAGCAGATTTTATTTGGCCTGGTTTACCAGACTAAAAATCGAGTTTCTCTTAATCCGAAGCTGCACAAAGCTATCAAACTTTGTGTACTGTCCACTCCAAGAGCAATTTTGCTAAATGTGACGTAGTGTTGCAACAGCATCATGCTTTTTAGAGCTACATCAAGAAAATTGAACTTGCTTCTGCCACCTTCCTAAATTTGGACTCTACAACGTGTGCTAGCATCAACGACAGTAGCGCACACTAAGTAAATACTTTTTTTCCGTTAGGCTCATGTCGAACCCACGCGTTTATGTAACAGGTAGTACGTGCACCGAGTTAAACTGGATACTGACTACTCTGCTTAACTTAACTGCCAGATGTCAACATCAGTACCATGCGGCGTTTATGTGGCTGCAGAACAAGCAGTTTGCTGCCAGCATTCAAAATTCTGTTTCAATAGGAGGTAGAAGCCCCGGTGTTGATTCAGGATGGTCTGCATGATAAAAATGTTTACCAGAAGCGGTATAATGATCGTAACGCAGTCCCTGAATAATGAAGAATAGTAGATCCAAAATGTGCCTGAACTCGATAAGAAATGGAGCAGCGCAATTTTGGCGCATTAAAAGGGAGAATGAAGTCAATAAAATCAAAGTAATAAAACGTTTGTATTGCCGAAACATGTTTCATATGAGAACGCGTCCGCCAAGTAATGAGGCAACATTCGGAGAACGAAAACGATAAAATGCCATGGAGATCAAGGAAGAAAACTGGGCAATAGAACAAGGCGGAGAAGTGTATGGAACTCGCGGTATCGGTCGATCAGCTGAGTTAGAGAAATGGTGTATATGGCACGAGGCAATAGTTCTTTTAACTCTGCACAGACTAACAGTGATAAAATGATCGTCCCAGGATATGCCCGTTATACAGCATAGCGACCTCCCCATTACAGCCAAGACTTCGTTTTTGAGGCTAGATTTGTTACCCAGTTGTGGTTTCAGTGGTTCAGTTTGCTTCGGTTTGCTGCACCAGTCCAGTGAGTGACCAGTACCTTTTACGGTACGAGGATTATCTAAATACGTACTCCTAGAGAGGCTAAAACATTTTAGTTCTGTGTATTTGTCTAGTGAACTTGTCGCTTTACACAAAAAGTCCGGGTAAAGTTAGTGCGGCACTTTGCAGCAATCGCTTTGGAGTCCCTAAAACAATGAATTCTCGATAAGCTCCATGTATTTTTCAGTAACTTGACATTTAATGTTGCCTAGGCGGATCCATATTTGACTTATCAAAAACGGCATCATGCTTACAGAAATTGCATGAGTTTACCTCAAGGTGGACCGAGTCTACTGAGGTAGGGAATTGCACAATATATTTTACTTACAATGTAGAAGTTAAGATTGGCATTGTTGGAAATGCATTCACGAATGCGTCAATTGATACCGATATTTTCTTCCTTAACAATCTGTCAGAAATTGTTAATCTCCAGGTTCAGTAAATGTATTGAAGACCGTGTGCCACAAGATTGTCACTGCTGTGATTTATGCAAGTTACATGGCAAGTAAAAACACTCACTCATCATCCCGGCCTTCAGAGTTCTCAGAAAACACGAGACGTTCCAGCATGTGTTCGAACAAATGGGTGAGTTCTAGATGAGCTGCCTCAAAGGCAACAAATGGTAGAGTCGAACAGTTTGAACTTAAGCTGTCCAAGGCGTAAGTTACCGGATCTTCTCCATTCAGTAAATGACCAGCTTGATCGCTTAGAACACCAAACAAGGTGAGAATCAGCAGTTGACATTTTATTGGAGCTATGACACAAGAAGAACAGGTTAGAAATTTACGTAAAATCAAATACGTAACGCAATTTCGGAGAAGTAGCCGGAGGTATTGTGCAGAAGCTGCCAATGAATAAGGTGTCTCTTTTTAAGTAGCAGCATTATAGGACTGAGTGACGCAATTATACATATGCCTCAATAAGAAGTATCGTCCCTACCATTACATAACATAATGAACCGTGATGTAATGCAGGCACTTCAATTTTCGATCTTAATCCCTCCGGAACTCCACTCCTCCGAATCCTTCTAGGTATTTGACACTTGTTTTATACAAACGCCGCAACTTCGAGATTCGCCTAATTAAACCGTCTATATAAAAACAGGAACTTCTCACTTTGCCTTGACTATGAGACCGTTCACTTTGTCAATTGCGAAGTGCAAATTGCTGTTGATTGGACGGCTAACAGCATCCGACTCAGAATGAATTGGGTCACGCTGGATGTAGGTGGTACCAGCCGAATAATCGTACGGGATGGTGGCCTGAGTGCAAACATTATACACATATTAACAGCCTTGCAAATCAAGTAAATAGGTAATGACATTTCTGCTTTAAAAGCCACACTAGCACGCTAAAATCCCATCGAACCAATACCCCGCATGCAAGCATATTCCCAAGCGATGGTTCTATGGTTGGTCGTGTCACTGCGCTTGAACCTCTGGTCTTCTATACACCAAGTAGTTGTGACACCCTCTCAATCATCCCGAAAAACACGCCAAACCAATCAGCACTTCCACCTCCCAAATCGTTTAAGATCTGCTCCGGAAAACTTGAAAAATTAATCTGCTCCATGTGATTCACCTGTACTTAATGTCCATACCATCCAATTGGACTGTGCCCAAAAAGGTCGGGGATCCCACCGTTAGTTTCTGATTTTTACTCGTCACAAATTCATACTGCCCATGCAAGAGCAAGGTATAACGTTGACGTATATGATCCGTGGCAAATATGGATGCGGGTTCTCACTTGGAGTGAAATATAGCTATTAGTTTAAAACGAGTGACACTAGTAAAATAAGCCACAAATTGACATCTTGAAATTAATTCATGGAGAATGAACTGAATACATTAGGTGTAGTTGAATTTTCATCTGCCTCGCTTAAATTTAATCTGACACATGAGGAAAACATGATCTTACAAGAGAAGAATTGCTTGCGCAAAATGGATCAGCTATGCCAAATGTAGAGAGAAATTAGAGGAGCTGGGTCGAATAAAGTCCTCTGTACAAATATTACCGGAAATTTACCACTAAATGTTTTACTAGAGGTACCGATGTCGTTTCAAAAACTCATTTATCAAATGACGGAATCCCATTATCTGTTTGCAAGGCATCAAATCCCGTCGGTTGCTGGAGTTACCTAGCAAGACATGGAATTTCTTCTGATCCATGTGTTCCGCCTCGCAACCTCCAGTGAACCACACCAAAACTAACCTCTCACGGTCAGTCAGTAGCTCGGTTTCACATTTGCTTAATTTCCCACAACTTACTTTCGAGACTACTAGTAAGTTACCGTTCGAATAAAATTCATTACCCGGTAAATTGCCTGCTTTCTTGGTGCGTTAAGTGCGTTTCCAGACATTTGCCATTCTATCGCTACGCAAACAGATACGCAACAGCGACTAGAGGGACTTTACATCTAAACTCACACTGATTAATCATGGTCAGGGTGTCTTCAGTGATAACTGCCAGGCTGGGTTCACTGCATTCTTCCTCGTTCACTAGCCTCCAGCTGTAGCCTCCATAATAATTTACCAAGTTAAAAAGCAATGCAAGACAGTAGACACCAAATGTTACTTTATGTTGATATCAGATTATATGTTACGGCGTTAATAAAATCTACCTCATGAATTTACCCATACGTACTTTATGAGTAGCGGCTCACCATGTAAATTCGAAACCTTTCTTACTTGTGTAATTCGCTAGCCAATAATTGTCAGTTTTTCTGTAAAGCTGCTCAAAGGGGCATAATGCAAGTTCAGACTTCCTTCTGTCGAATAGATAAGCAGCAGCACGGTTTTCCTGTTAAGTGACCGTGCGTCGCTTGTCAGGTGTATTACCTAAAGAACATTTCGGTATCTATCGCTTCCGGCCATGCAGTGGTTGTAATGTCTCTGGACATACACCAAGCATTCGATCGAATATCTCACAGGCGTGTGTAAAACATGGAAGCCTTTGGGATCCGGAACGTGTTATAAGATTGGCTCTCATGCTTGACAACAGGTAGTCACTTTAATGGACTATCGCTCAGCGCCGCACGCCATCACTAGTGGAAGCATCCATGATAGCGTGCTTGGTGCTTCTCTTTTCTTGATCTACATCAATAGCATCAACACATCCGTAAAATATGGTCAGCCAATTGTGTCCGCCGACGCAATCATGATCGTATATAAGCATCAATGCCGTGAATCCTTCAAGATGACTTAGGTTCCCTAGAGACAAGTTTTCACAAATAGACGATGAACCTCTTGGTTTAAGTATCAGACATCATGTCATACGGGTGTTCCATTCCCTAATGTTCTATTGCACTAATCAATGAATATATCCCTACACAGTAGTCTACGCATGTTCTCGGGATTTTATACTCATGTGCCTACAATTTCTTCGAACAGACCCAATGCCAAGTAGTACCTCCGAGGCAATATGTGTTTAAAATAACCAACACAATCCACACAATCAAACCTAGAGTTGAACTTATTAGCTTTTCACCCGCCCCATCCTCGAGTCATGCAACATAATATACGGAAACATGAGTATGATCGGCAGAATTGTTCAGGAAAGCATGCCGATATCGTTTACTAACCACCTGACAAGTAAACACTCACCCAAAGAATTATCGAGATCGTCACAACAAAATTCAACTCGAAGCACTCTGGATGTGATATTCGAAGATTAGTTTGTTGCTGCCTTACAATTTACTATCCAACAATACCCATTCCGATCTGCCTACACGTGAACTGTAGTGGAAAATTATAGCTCAGATCGAGAGCTTCGCAACAAGTATTATGCACTGTTTAGAGCAGAAGATGTACCAAGCTTGCACCCCAATTTATTCATGATCAGATAGACCTATCTATGAAATAAACGCTTAATCACACGCAAGTCAAATGAACTAGTTGCAACATTTGGTCACATGGTTGCGTTATCTTTGGAAAAACCAGTCGATCAACTATCCCAAACACTCAAGTGTACAAATCTTGTCTTTTGCCTCAGATATCCACTACCTCGCTGTTATATTAAAAAATTCAGGCATTAATGTTGCACATATGCGTACAGCGCATGCAAGGTCATAGTTACAGTTTGTGTAGACATCACCTCGCTGATCACGGGAATATACCCTTTGTTATTCATACTTCACTGCAGAAACGCCAGGTTCATGGAGAGGGAGATAATAAGGAAATGCGAGCCATTCACTACATAGAGTGCTGCGTTTTGGAGTAAGCAAGGTTGCTAGTACCCATGACGGCTACTTAACATCTTTAAGTAATGAGCGATCTCCATATTTTGCCGACTGCTGGTGCGCAGAGAGACTAATAATACAAGAAATATGTTCAATGTTTGAACCCCTAACCCGCAGCGTTGACTACTTAACATATTGTTTTTAAACTTAAATCATTTTATATTTTTTAGGTGCTCCATTTTCTTCCGGAAAGCAAGTCGAAAAGCTGCAGTCAGGTATCTGACTGCTAAATTTAGTTAACGATTGATTACATGAAACCAATGACATATAGTTTCAACTTGTATGCTCAGATAGACAATATTGTAAGCGACAAATTTTGACACACATGTACCCAGTGGTTTTGGTTCTGTTTCGCTTGTGACTTAATGGGGGACAATATAACTTGGCCTCCGAGTTCGGCAGCACACGTCACACTAAACTTTCAGCCATAAACAGAATTAATGTGAGCACCAATGCAACAATCCAATGGTGAAAGTGTGAGCAGCAGTCTATTTGAAGTAAAGTGATAGATAAAATCTGCAGTGTGGGAGAATGCGGTCGTCCAGAGGAAAAAGGCACCTTCATTATGGTGTTACTTACAGGAACAACAGCTAGGTGCTGGTTTGTTAACGAATTTCGTCTAAACTTTGGGACATTGTGCTGAATGTTTTAGCGAGTGGAGCATTATAGAGGCATACTATTATACCGGCAAGCTTAGCCATAATATCGACGAAGTCGAAAATAGTCCATTTTCATTTGCCCGTATTCGTGCCAATGGAACGATTGATTTTAGCTTGACGGATAGGTTAAAACCTTGCGTTCAGAACGGACGTGCGTTACTGTTAGGCCGTAGCAGCGAAATAACTCTGTGACACAGTTTCGAGACGTGAAGTAGGACTGCGGCAACTCACGAGGAAAGCTGAGCACTGCAGTCCGTCATCATGACACGTGTTGCTAAGCGACCGGTGTCAGCACCACTAGAGCTGGCTAGTGGACCTGTATATACCATTTCTCACTTGCTAACATCCTTAAAAAAGTCGCTTACATCCTTAGTGCAGAAGCCGTCACTCTTAGTGCAGAAGCTCTGCTCCATAATGCAAAGGCTATCATCCGGCAATCATCACACTTGCATCCACGTAGCATTGCGTAGGCAGAGGCTACTAGCCCTTCGGACAAAGGTGCATGCAGCACTTTCTATTCATACAACCAATTGGTCCGAAAAGTTAGATCTTCGCCATCGATATCAGACCACTTACCAGAAGCTTGCTACTCCGCTCCAACCCGGAACATTCGTGCGCGGGAAGGTAAACGTTGCATCAAAAGGGCAGCCCACGTTAGAAGATCCGATAAGAATAACTCGTGCGTGTGGACCAGGCACTTACCGGCTGGAGGATGGCCGCACAGTCAACGCCTGGAGATTATCTACAAGTATCAGACGAAAGGAGCATGAGCCACCAACCTTCACTGACGAAACTACGCAAAGCACGCAGCTCCGCAGGACGAGTCGAGAACAAAGACGGCCGAATCGATATGGTTTTGACGCATCATAGGTTTAAGCGGAGGGGTGATGTTGTGTATTCTCTCAGCACTCTTGACGGCTGGTCTAAACAGACGCGTGCACACCCACAAAGCGTCTAATTCTCTGCTTCCCAATTGGTTCATCCTTCTCCTTGCGACACCTTAATGTACACAACCAGTTAGACTTTTATCAGATTACAGCAGTTCGTTCACGGGAGTGACCCTCTTAATACTGCGCGTGCATTTGACCTTTCGTACACAACCTATTTTACGAGGCCAGCTGCTTGTAGTGTAATCCGTTCGCAACAAAATATTACATATCTGCGTACTTGCGGAACATGGAGGAAAGTAATATAATTCACTTGAGGCTATCACAAAAGCTGAGGTCCTACGGCGTATCTGGCCGCGCCCTTCACTGGGTATCTGCGTTCTTGCAGGGAAGAGAGCAGTGTGTACGTGTGGGTCGCAGCTTATCCTTTAAGCAAGCGGTCCTTAGCGGTGTCCCACAGGGCTCAAATTTGGACCGATGCTGTTCTCCATCTACGTAAACGATCTACCTGGAGAGCTTGGGATATCATCCCTATTGTTTGCTGATGACCTTAAGCTATGGAATGTTGTAAATGTTCCTGGGTGTTCTGAGGCCATACAGCATGCACTGGACAGACTCTGGGATTGGTCTACTTTGTGGCTACTGCCCATAAATCAGGCTAAGTGTTCCGTCCTTTGTACAGGAGCAACTTTCCCGCCTTCGAGCTACGTAATCGGTGGGGTTGAACTCCCCCTTCTCTCCAACCAGGTAGACCTAGGTGTCGTTCATTCCACGTCTTTGCATTCTGGTGACAACTGGAAGAAGGCCGCAAGTAGGGGTTTCCGAATGTTGTGGTTAATACGCCGTTCTTTCGGGGTCTTAACTGCCGACATATTTGTGAAACTGTTCTCAGCTTTCGTCCGGCCCCATCTGGAATACTGCGTCCAGGCTTGCCCGCCCTGCTTTGTTCGGAACAAAATGGAGCTTGAGAGGGTTTTGAGAGTAGGTACCAAATTGATCCAGGGGTTACAGGGGCAATCGTACCTCGAGCGTCTACTTAGCTTGGGTATGTATTCAATGCACTACCGACGGCTTCGAGGAGACCTAATGCTTACTTACCGCATTTTTACAGGAAAGGTGGGACCGGACTTGAGCTGGCTATTTAGCCCGGCTTGGTCGCCTTGTCTTCGCGGTCATCCTATGAAGCTACACAAGCCGCGTTCTAACCGAATCAGGGCGGAAACTCGGTTATCGCGTAGAGTTATTGAGTGCTGGAACTCGCTTCCAGAAATTGTAGTCTTCGAACCTACGGTTACAGGTTTCGAGCGTCAGTTAGACGCTCTTGGGCGGCAACACGAAACATTTCCCTTCTCCTGACTATATCCATCTTTAAACCTTTACTTCTTATGCTATCATTCACTTCACTCTTTGATGTTTTCCTTCATTTTAATGGCTTTTATTCCCCTTTATCTTCTATTTACTTTCTCCTTCTTTCTTACTTCACGTAACCTACACAGCGGGGACTGTTAGTGCAGGGAAAGTGGGCAGTAATTGGTTGATCAGGGTGTGTTTCGGGTGTTTCGTTTTAGATCTATCAAGAACTAGCACCTTATCATTTCCGGGCTCAACGATTTGCTCAAGAAAGGACACTCAAGGGATTTTCCTATCGTTCCAGTCCATCTGAATCTGAATCTGAACGTATTCTTTGAAAGGAAACTGCAAGACTGCAATCAACCATCTATCACATGCTTCCTTCATCCT